CATTGCTATTAAAGACTGTCACAATATAAATTTAAAATAAAGAGAAAGTTGTATCTTAGTTTCTAAGATTCATGAAAATCCTACCATTTATCATCCAAAATGTTCCAGCTTTCATATTAATTTCCATCTTCATTCATGTTTTAATTTTTAACAAATCAAATTTTGTTTTGACATGGAAAAACATATACAAAAATTTGAAGAACTCATGAACATGCAATGCAATGAGTTGCATCCACGAACCAACCGCCGCCCATTTGTTTCTTGATGCTCTGTTTAAAAATGTATATATCCGGAGGATTGGGTACGGTTGCTCCTCCGGAGTGGGCGGCGGCCAGAGGGGGCACGTCAGTCCATCATCCGTCCATGGTGTAGGCGAATCGCCGATCACTGGCGAGGGGAGCTTACGACAGAGGCTACCGGAGACGTTAATGGATTTTAGGGTAAGGAGTCAATTCCTGTGTCAACGACAGGTCCAAGCTAAGGTACTTCATCTGTCTCACTAGGGGACATTGTGCTGTCAGCATGAAGCTTCAGGTCAATGTTCTGGCCGGCGACGCCAACGCCAACCCCAGCCCAAACTCACCGGCCAGCACCACCGCCGCCGCCGCCGAAACGAAAATATAGAAAAAGACCGGTGGTTAGCTGGGTCTTTGTATAAAATAAAAAGTAAAAAATTCCAGTCGGTTTGGCCTATCCGGGACCAAAGACGAGGGGATCCTGTCGGTGTTTGGACATGAAAGAACATTGGAGAAATTAGAGAGGTGGGACCTACAAATCGTAAGTCATAAGTTAGATTTAGGGAGTAATAAAGTATTATAGAAAATTAGTAACTGCCGGCTTCCGTCATTCCACGCGCTCTTACAAGTTGTACGCACACCTCTCATCTATACCGAGTCAATTAGGAAGTCAAGTCAATGGGAACACGACCGGAGGAGCAATTTCCAGCGGCCCATTCAAAAGCACTTCCCATTTAACTTTCTCTCAAACGAATGCTACATTCCACTCTTTTTGTCCTTTTGTGCCGCTTTTCCGTATTATTAAAATATATTATAATAATTAATTAAGAAATATATCTTTACTTACATAATATATCTTAAATATTCGTAATCTATTAATATTTTTTCTTTTTCATTTGATTACTAGTATATTTTATTTTATTATCACGATTTAATTAGTTTATATTTTCTTTATTTTTAAGTAATAGTTGGCAGCGTATATTCTATTTAAACGGTTGTGAACATTAGTAAAAATTTGGACTTTCGATCCCACCTATGTTTGTTGCACTTTCGATTCCAATTCTATTTCTCATTCTTAACATGGTTTCCGAGCCTAAAGCCAATCCCTAACTCAATCAGTGAAGCTTTTACAGCCGTCGATTATCCATCGTGATAAGTCCAATCGAGTATCATAGCAATCACAACTTCCTGCTTTCAACAGCTTCCAAACCATTGTCATCGCTTCTGAACCTTAAGTAAGTCCTCAAGTCACAAATTACAGTCCCTGACTAGTCCATACATCTCCGCAAGTCTTAAGTCTATGAGCCTAGCATTACCACTACTATCGTAATAGTCCCGTTAGCTTCTATTGTTGTCCCACTTGTTTTTCAAATTCAATAACTTTGATATACACCTATTCCGCAGACCTACAATTCCCACTGTACCATCACTTTCCAAAATCCAAACCCATTATTCCCCAAACCAACCGTGTTTAAGGAAGGATATTTCCATCATGACTTTGTTTTAGACTCATTTCTATCCAAACTAAGACCCACTAGTTCATCATGTCGGAAGAATCGAAAATTTCAGAGTAGTAGAAGAGGAACAACTGAAGAAAGGTGATAGAAATCAGAACGGAGGACGACGGATGAATTGGGATATATATCATCCTTTTAAGCCCACATTTCAAAAGTGTTAATTTCTGGTCTCTATAGTGATTGTCTCTGATTGAGCACCGCAAATCATCAATATTTTTTCCTCTCAACAATAAAATCAAGAACATATTCATTATCAAGATGTTTGTGGCGAGCTATCCAGATTCCGTCATCAACAGGTAGCCTCTTAATCTTAATCTGGATCTTGAATTGGCTACATATATTCTCAATCATTCTACTAGACCTGTACTAGACCGAGTACTGTGCTTGGCAAACTGTTCTCAATCATTCAATATCAAAATTACGTTGTAAGCATCTTCAAATTTCTCACTAAGCTCAAAGGTGGCATATTCAAGATTTTCGTATTTTCTTTCACAACCTCTCAAGTGATCCAGAGCACCGATCTTGATGTTATTATCCAACTTCAAAACTTCGGATGTTTATTTAACACATCCTTATTATATTCATCACTGTGATCAACTAGGGTATTCTTTTTGTCCCCATCAAATTAAATGGGACAAATTACCAACCCCGGTAAATCATCTATGCACAAATCAAGAAGTAGCTTTCAAGTTCTGAGATAATTTCTTGAGTTTTGCATCTTTTTAAAAAATTCAATAATTTCTTGAGATCTACAAAACAAACCGATCAAAGACAGTCTATTTTTGGTTTTGCATAATTCTTGGGAATTCAATAATTTATTGAAAATCTAAAAAGAAAACTAATGTGTCCTGATCATCAACAAATGCTTGTTTAAAACTAATTTGACATTTGGCAAATATTTTCATTGTTGTGAAGACAAAAGTATTATTGACCTACACTCTCTTCTCGAAGACAAATTGGGTGCTATTGACCTATACTCGTAAAGACAAGTTGAGTGTTATTGATCTACACGATACAAGTTGAGGTGGAGTATTAGAATATATTATAATAATTAGTTATGAAATATATCTTAGATAGTCGTAATTTGTTAATATTTTTTCGTTTATGATTTAATTAGTAGTATATTTTATTTTATTATCAAGATTTAGTTAATTTATTATATTTAAACGTTGTGAACATTAATGAAAACTTAGACTTTAGATCCCATTGCGACTTTTGATCCCACTTATGTTTATTACACTTTCGATCCCAATTCTATTTCTCATTCTTAACACCTATCTTTTCCGAAAGCCCCGACCGGCCCGCAATGCTTTTAAAACAGGGGGAGATTCTTCTGGGCTGCCACCTCCTTCGTCGCCGTCGAACCACTGGGAGCCTTTCTGCCACTAGGCTTTGGTCAATGTGGGCTCATGTTGGGTCTGTAGTGGCGGCAGCCCAAATAGCCCCGTAAGTCGTCGGCCTCGGCCCTTATTGGTTGTGGGCTTCATCTCGGCCCTGTGGTGGTGGCAACCCAAACAGCTCGGTAAGTCGTAGGCCTTGACGAAAATATGGGCCGAGCCCATGAGATAAGTTGAGCCTCAAGTGGCGGCAGCCCAAACATACCGGGAGTCGTCGGCCTGGACGAATATATGGGCCGCGCCCAGAGAGAAGTTGGGCCTGAAATGGCGGCAGTCCAAACAGTCCGGGAGTCGTCGGCCTGGACGACCATATGGGCCAAGCCCATAAAAGATTTTGGGCCTCAAGTGGCGGCAGCCCAAAGAGCCCGGGAAGTCGTCGGCTTTGACGAAGATATGGGCCGAGCCCAGGAGAGAAGTTCGGCCTGTAGTGGCGGCAGCCAAAACAGCCCGGAAAGCCGTAGGCCTTGTCGAAGATATGGGCCGAGCCCATGAGAGAAGTTGGGCCTAAAGTGGTGGCAGCCCAAACAGCCCAGGAAGTCGTCGGCCTTTACGAAGATATGGGCCGAGCCCATGAGATATATTGGGCTTTAGTGGCGGCAGCCCAAACAGCCAGGTAAGTCGTAGGCCTTGACGAAGATACGGTCGAGCCCATGAGAGAAGTTGGGCCTGAAATGGTGGCAGCCCAAACATCCCGGTAAGTCGTCGGTCTGGACGAAGTTATGGGCCAAGCCCATGAAAGATTTTGGGCCTCAATGGCGGCAGCCCAAACAGCCCGGGAAGACATTGGCTGTGACGAAGATATGGGCCAAGCCCATAAGGGAAGTTGGGCCTGTATTGGGCAGCCCAAAAACCCGGTAAGTCGTAGGCCTACGAAAATATGGGCCGAGCCCATGAGAGAAGCTGGGCCTGTAGTGGCGGCAGCCCAAACACCCCGGTAGTCGTAGGCCTTGACGAAGATATGGGCCGAACCCATGAGATATATTGGGCCTTTAGTGGCGGCAGCCCAAACAGCCAGGTAAGTCGTAGGCCTTGACGAAGATACGGTCGAGCCCATGAGAGAAGTTGGGCCTGAAATGGTGGCAGCCCAAACATCCCGGTAAGTCGTCGGTCTGGACGAAGATATGGGCCAAGCCCATGAAAGATTTTGGGCCTCAAGTGGCGGCAGCCCAAGTAGCCCGCGAAGTCTTTGGACCTGACGAAGATGTGGGCCGAGTCCATGAGAGAACTGGAGACGGTCTCCCGTTTGTGAATGTGGGCTTCATATCGGGCCTGATTGTGTGCTTCATATTGGGTCTGTAGTGGCGGCCATCCCGAACAGCCCGTAAGTCGTAGGCCTCGACGGAATTTATTGGCGGAGCCCTCGAGAGAAGTTGGGCCTGTGTGTGCGGTAGCCCAAACAGCCTGGTAAGTCGTAGGGATTGACGAAGGTATGGGCCCGGCCCATGAGAGAAGTGTAGACGGTCTGCCCTTTGGTGATTCTGGGCTTCATATTGGGCCGGTAGTGGCGGCAGCCCAAACAACCCGGTATGTCATGACGGTAGTTGTGGCCTTGATGTTGGGCTTGTTGTGCCTGCAGTGACGGCATCCGAGATAGCCTAGTTGTGGGTCTGTTGTGGCGGCAGCCCAAACAGCCCATTAAGTCATAGGCCTTGACGAAGAGATGGGTCGAGCCCATGAGATAATGTCGACGGTCTGCCCCCCATTCAAAATACCCCTTAGGGTTAATTTTGACTTTTCATTTATAGTATTTTGGAACCCGAGAAATTTCTAAACATTTTCTCTTTTTTATTTTTTATTTTTTTTTATTTTTATCGCATCTTGAAATACAATCTGTAAGATAAGTCGAAGTTAAGAGTAAAAATGGTATTCTAGTTATCAATTTGAATATAGCGGAATGTAATAAGACAAACAGATTAAGTGAATTTGTGTAATAGAATTAAACTCCCCAGTTTCTTGGATAGAGAGCTTTGAGCTTTCAAGGTAAAAAAATTTCCCTCATTTAAGGTTAAACCAAACCTTCCAACAGAGATGGCCAAATCTTCAGCAGAGGTTGTAAGGAATCCGGCATGAATTTCCGAGCAAACAGAAAGCATAGGGAAACGGTGTCGTTTCCATTATAAGTACAATTAAACCCGAACCGCACCTTGCTCAAAAGCTCGACCGAGATTTCCCGCCTCCCAAATCTGCCGGGGTGCGGACCGTTTTTCGACCAATCAACCCAAGTAACGGTTCTGTTGGAGTTCCGGTCCGGCAAAACAATATTAACCAACGTAGGAATATAATGCTCGTCCATGTAACACGGCGGCCCGCAATGGTTCCGGAAAACAGGGTAATATGTTTTGTCGGAGATTATCTCGCCGGCCACCGTTCGATCTACTTCAAACCATTGCGATCCTTTTCGCCAGTCGGCGATCGACACAGTCGGAAACATTTGAGGGTTGTAACGACCCCGGCCAATTTTTCGGGGATCATCGTAGGAAGAAACAAAGGTGTGCTCGGAATTGAGGAGGTAGTTGTAGACAGTGGTGAAGTTGTAGAGAGGGATGCAGGTTTCGGAGAGTAGGATGAATCTTTCATTAGAGAAGTCGAGAAGGGCGTTGGCTAGAAGGCGGCGCTCGGCGTCGATCATGGAGGGTCTACCCCATTGCACCGGCTGTTCATTCAAATTGGAAAATTTCAGAAACTTGTTCAAGAATATAAAGCAAAACAGGCATCACTTATAGTTTAGACAAAGAAAAACTGAGAAATGAGAAAAGAAAGTACAATCACCTGGCTTGGGATTCTTCTTCCATGGAAGACAGAGCCAGGAGGCAGAGAAGAAGAAACATTATAGGACGGATGGGTGTGCACATAAATTGAAAACAACCTTTCATGGCCTTTGAAGAACATTTCCCACAAAGGAGCTAAAGGCAACGGCCCCTTTATCAGAAACATGAAAGCCACTTTTGGCACACGTTCATATGGGAATTCTTTGATCAGTGGAACCATGGATGCTCTCCAGAAGACTTCATCATCTGTCATTCTGTGCATCAGAGGTGGCTCTACATTCGGGTCGAAAAACTCAGGAGACGGCAATGGTACTGGTGGCAACAATGGCGACGGCAGTTGAGATGGAGGGGGCGACGAGGGAGGTTGTTGTGGTTTGAGAAACAAGAGGGTTGATGGTGAAGATGGAAAGGAAAAGATATTAAATGAGGAGAAGCTGTTGAGGTTCAAACCAATGGCCATTCCAATGGAGAAGCCAATAAGTAAGAAGAGAAAGCGGAAGATTTGAGAAAAGTGAGATGGAGAATTGGGGTGCAGCTTGGAGGGTAATGGAGAATACTTGAGCTGATCATTAGCCATTTGGGTTTTGGCTTCTGACTGCTCAGACTCAGAAGGTGACAGAAGAGGAAGATGAAGAACATGAAGAAGATGAAGAAAGTTGGATTAATGAAGAAGTTACTTGAAGCGAAAGTTAGTAAGCTATCATGTGCTCTTCTCCGCAAAAGTCTTCTTTTTTGGCTTTGCTCCAAGAAGGGCCATAAAACAAGCATGCATAAAATGCCCCAAACCTAGGATAAACTATTGCATGAAACGAGAAGAAACTGTGTAGCTAACCGTTTTATATTATTTGATATATGAAAGAGAAATCACAAATGACAGTGGAGAGGAGAACGAAGCATTCTTTATAAGAGTGTGAAAATCTCTCCCTAACAGACGCGTTTTAGAGGAAGCTCAAAAAGGAAAGTCAAGACAATATCAGCTAGCAGTGGGAAACAATTTATTAGTACGAGGAAGCTCGAGAGGAAGCTCGAAACTTTGATTACAACTCTCAGAAGTCAAAAGTCAAAAGTCAAAAGTCTTCCTTCCCGTTGGATTTGCCATTTCCAAGTGGTTGACTTTAGACGTTTCACTTACACTCTTCCATCATTTTAAGGATTCCCCATGTTCTCTCTTTTGCTTTCTTAGCAGCTCTCAACTCAGGAAACAAATTATTTTCTCTTTTGGTGTCTTTCATAGTACTCAAGGTAGAACAGACAACATATTTTTAGTATGAATCCCTTTCTTTGTATGTTTGAAGTTATCAAAAAAATGCTTCATATTAATACCAGAAACCAGATAATCCCAAGTGAATCCAAAAGCACCCCCAAACATACACCAAAAAAATGAACAAATTTTTACAGCAGGACTAACCATGGCTCACGAGAATTCGGAAATCGAACCAGTCATCGATGTCGGAATGTTCTATCGCTATAAAAGGAAATCGGGTATAACTGTCTGTGAAGCCACAGGTAATGAAGCATCTCCACTTTGTTTAGCTTTATGCCTACTGTGCTGCTGACTACTCATTCGCTTGCCTTTCTTATGAACTTGATCTTTTTTCTCACTTCTCTTTTCATGACTTGATTGTTTGCCTTCTTTTCCATGACGTCGATGCGTTCTTCTCGAACTTGTATCTACCGTATTGGATTGCTCTTCAACATCACCCAAGTTTTCTTTTGATTCAGAAAGATTATCAGCATTCTGTTTCTCCTTTCCTTTTCTCCTGCTAGAGGGTTTGGAAGATTGGTTTGTCTGTGAGGAAATAGGCATTACATCACTACCCACAAGAACATTGCGTACTGCATCGGAAAGCTGTTCATCCTTCGACTGAGGCTTCTTCCTCGTAACGGGCAATTCATCTCCTTCATCCAATCTCACTACCACAGGCCTAGGCTTGGCTGAAGTAGACTTTCTCTTTAACGCGAGTGACCGTTCTGTAAGCTTTACAAGGTGGGCTGCGTCGTCATCCAGATGATCTTGTAACTTGAGTTCGTTGGCCGGTGGATAATCGTTAGAGGCATCATCAGTCTTATCTGATGGAAGATAATACAGTCCATGGCGCTTACGATGTTCGGAGAGAAGAGATGTGGTTGCGTTTGAGGGTTCAGACTCTTGCTGGCTCCGTTGCGATAATATAGACGAATTAACCCTTTCCTCATAGAGAGAACTTCCAAAAGAAAAGGAGCTTTCTGGTAGCTGAGTATCACTACATAGCATTTCCAAGTCATCAAGATTCTCCTTGAATATCAATCCTTCAGGAATTGTAACTCTTTCTTGAGCATTTACTGAGATTGGGCCAAAGTCATCGGAGAAAGCATCAAGAACCAGTTCAACTATTTTGGAGATTTCAGCAAGTTCCATTTCTGAACTCCCATCAGGAATCTGTTGTCTAATTAGCTCAATAAAATTGAGCAAGTGTCTAGACCTCTCAAGCAATTCAACATCATGGCTCCACGTTAAGGGACCCAAAGAAAACTGAATAAAATCCAACAACTCAACTATCGATCCAATAGACGAACCATTATCCTCCAACGATGCAGACGTACAAGTCTGGACACGAGACAGTGTCTCCACCTGTTCACGAAGATTAGAAGCATCTTGGCAATCCCTGGTAGAGATCGATTCTGAATCATTCTCTGTCGAAGTATCAACATACAAAGAGGACTCAACGTATTGCTCTTGAACGTAAGAATTTAAACAAAAAACCGACACTTTAAACGCTGACTGAACATAAACTGCTCTAACTGATGGTGGCAAGAGATTACAGCGAGGTTGTAACAACGCCTCTAGGAGCTCGAATGGCTTGCCTGAAAACTGCACGTATTCGCCTGACACCCAAGCAGCAGCTGACAGTATCCTATGCATGAAAGGATTACCGAGTAACGCTGGATCAATCAGCAGATCACGGCCAACCATGACAAGAGTAGGCCTTGCATCCTTCACCCTCATACCAATATCTATAAGCTGAGTTTCAATTTCCTCTCCCTTTTGGCAATGTGGGATCCTCGACATTTCTCCAAGAAGCGACACATACCAATCAAAGTCGATAACAATTTCATACACATTTTCACCACACGTAGCTAATATGGACCCAAGAATTTCATTACAAAACTCAGGATCAGATTTAATCGCAATGTTCACCAAAACTCTGCAAATTTCAGCTACATTATTATCATAAACCATAGCCATCACAAGCCGCAAGGACTCAAGTTTAACATTTGGATCCACATCACTTAGAGACTTAATTACAACCTCTTTATTCTCCAAAACAGCCCACGAGTGTTTTGGCACAAGGATTGAAAGAGCATGCAATCCAAGATACTTTAGATTCGGATCGTCGTCAACCAAAAATTCTCGAGTTCTCTCAACAGCAAGTTTAACTGCTGATTCAAAGTCCGACAAGCTAGTCACTACAGTCCTAATGCACTCAAACATCAAGGATTTAGCATCTGTTCTTCTCATATGCTCAGTTATAGGTTCAACAATTTTCCTAGCCAGTCTAGGCTCCAATGGAGCAAGATTTTTAAATATCTTCAAGACCTTAATGAGCACCCAATTGTTCTTGCTATCGGCCAAAATCCTATAAAATTCGGGTGCCAATGGAAGGTAAGATCTAGGGTCCTGGGAAGTAAGCTCGCAAAAGACCCCAACAACAGCAGACAAAATCCGGGGATCCGAACTATCTAAATTCTCAACCAAACGCTTAAAACACACCCTAACAGCATCTGGGAATTTCCCAAAAACCCTCAAAACCACACTAATAGCCTTCTTTCTAACAAAGGGCTTAGTACTCGACAATAATGTAAAAATCTCAGGGGTCAAGTCCCGAGCAAGATCGATAGTAGCAATTCTGGACAAACAATCAAGAGCAAGGCTGACCTCGAATTCGTTTGTGCTAGTTAAATCCTTCCGGAGCTGGTTGGTAATGAGGAGGAGAACTGGGGTGGCTTCGTGAAACGATTGGGAGGCAGCGAGGTACCCGATCTTCTTTTGGGCGAAGCGAGAGGCTGACATAACCTCGACGACATGAAAGGCAGCCCAATTCATATCGATACCGTGAAGGGAGCTGAGATAGGAGAGCTTTTGCAGAGCGGTGGACTTAGTTTGAGGGTCCGTAGATTTGATCTCGCGGCGAATCTCGTCCATGGCTTTGGAGATAAAAGCAGACTCTCCGAGGAGTTGGAGGCGGAGGGCTTTGATAAGGTCATCGAGAGTTCGCTGGAAGAGAGTCTCCATGAGAGAGGAACCCGCCATTGATAGAGACGAAACTGCTCACTGTAATGACTGCGGAGGCAATACCCAGATGAGAATTTGGCTAGAATTTCATGGTTGAAGAGCTGGTAATGAGCTGAAGAACCCGAGATCGGAGGAATGAATTAAATCGATTCCATTCAGTAGAGCTAGATAATTAGCAATGGGAAGTTGTGAATTTCGGGCAGAAAGAGGAAGAAATGAACAAATAATTGCAGGCTTTTCTGCAATAAAATCATGAAATCGGAAGGGACAAGGATCTGGATTTGGGTTTTCGAAGGTTTCTTTCACGTTCAAGTCCAACACAGATGACGGATTGGGCATGTGGGCTTCGCTCCAAAACTGGACTGGACCTGTGGGTTACAAGAGAAGCCAATTTTTAAAAATCTATAATAAATATTTCAATCCATACCTACGAACTGATTAGGTTATGACCATAACATTGCGACTTTAATTATTTTAACCCTAATTGCATAGTGAAATATTACAAATTTTCGTCTCTTACTATCCCTAATTGCATAGTGAAATATTATAAATTCACTCTGAATATCTTATTGTTGATTAAATTCAAGCATTAATGGGAAACTTTTAAGCATATCCTCCAAGAAACACAAAAATACATTAATGGGAAGAGTTCAAGCATTTGGATGAAGAAGAGGCTTCAATTACTCCGAGCTTCTCAAGAACACATTGATGCTGTGAATTCATACATTCAAGCAACCCAAAATCTAAATACATTTCTTGATTCCAGAATTGGTCATTTCCAAAAGAAATTCTTCTTCCAACTGCTAATACTAATGATTAGATTACCTTCAACTTTTCTTTTTGAAGCTGAATTCCTGCCCCTCCGGCCACCAACATGGCCGAGGAAATGTCATTCCACGGCGGGATACGACTTCCAATATGCTCATACTTGCCAATTCCTTGTCTTCTTCACCTTCCTCTTCTGCGAGAAGCTTTAGAATTTCCATAATAATGGATGGGGGCGTTGCATCAGTCTCCTCCGAATTCTTTGATCCATTCATTGTTGATGGCAGAACGCACCTCCATCGATCGCGATACATTGTTCCTTCGTAATTGCACGGTTCTTCGGGTTGGGAATTTTCGACTCTCTTCTCTGCAAATTTTTCCTTGTTCTTATTACAGTGAGTTTCTTCGCCATTGGAGACCTTTCCATCATCTACCTTGCCGGATTCTACAGCGACGGTTGCCGATTCCTCAGCCATTTCGACATTGTGATCTACGAGTTTCGATCCTCCACCGGACTCGAGATCGACTGGTAAGTTTTCTACTACGATTGGGACGGAAGAGTCTGTGCCCAAAGCTTCATTCGAAAAATTCAACCTTTTCGATGCCGATTCACGCTCTCCACCAGCATCAGACTCCGAAACCTTTCTTCTACGAACACCAACAACTTCGATTTCATCAGTCTGTTGTGTCGATTGAACTTCCAAACGAAACCCTAGGTCATCGTTTTTCCCCAAATCGACTGCAGTGGCAACATCGCGCACACATCCGCCTTCAACAGTCGCCTCAGCACCACCAGCGACCACCGCCGCATCTTGAAGAGAAGGATCATCTTCAGCCATGGGCCGCTGCCCTCCGGACTGTTCCGGTGGAGCCTGGTAGGCATTATGAGAGGTGATTTGCTCTCTCTGTTCCAAACTCTCCGGAAGAGAAGCCATGAAAACACCAGTGGGCTGAAGAAGGTGATGGATTTGGGAGTAGGTAGAACAAGAGCCATCGACGGATTCGGGGTTGCCGGCGAAAGAGCAGCGACGTAAAATGTCCTCTTGGGAGTCAGAGAGGACGCAGAATTTGGTGAGTGAATCGAAAGGATCGTCGCCATTACCATCCATGGCAAGAAGCGAATTAAAAACCAAATGGAATGAAACACGATTTTCCCCAAAAACTATCTCGAGTTTGAAGATTCACTGCAAAAAGATGAATAATTTCCAAAACTTGTTCTTAGGGTTTTAATTTTATCCATTTAACCAAATTAATAATTCTTCAAACCCAAATTTTAAAAAATAAAATTATATATTGATAGTTAACCCCCCATCTTTTAGTTCTTAAATATCAAATAATTCAATTTTTTTAATCAAATTAGCTATCAATCAAACAGGTGAATATCAATTCATGCAACTCAGCAGGATGATGCTGAAGGAAAATTATAACGGTCAAGCTCATTATTAGTAAATATTATCTATTTTGACTTGTTACGAATCAGGTTTCTACGCTCACGCTCTTTCTATCAAGCCATTACTCCATGACAAAGCTAAGTCACGAATTGAACTGAAAAAGAAATGGAAACGATGAACAAGTCATTTCTTACTCTTTCTATCTTTCCCACATCGAAGAATTGATCCCAAACCAAAGAACCTTGGAGGGACATTCAACACAGGGCCAATGCAATGATACTTGCCATAAGCCCCTCCTGGATTCCTGCACATCTGAGGCTTTAGATTTGTTGGATATTGATTCAACGACGACAGTGGCAGCGACGACGGCGACGGCGACGGCGACGACAACTTTCTGTTCGATGTGGAGTGCTGTTTCTGAGAAATTTGCTTTTGTGAGTCTTTACACTTTTTGGACTTTGAATTTGGCACTGACCCAGTTGAGTTGCTGCGTGACAAAAGTGGGAGTGGACAAAGAGATGCTCTTTTACTTTCAAAGTTGAGGCTGCTACTTCTTTTGAATCCCCAAAAGGATTTGGACTCTGAACCTCTCTGTTCTAACTGACCTGAAGAAGTTGAATTCACCACCAATGTCTGCTTTGAATTCTCTGTGGGAGGAAGAGGAGGGAGTGACGCTGTGAGTGGAGGTTCAAAAGGATGAGATTGTTTATGAGATTCAATTTTGAAAGGAACAATGACTCCATTGCTAAACAGCTCATCTGCAGAGGAAGATTCATGTTGAATGCTGATATTGAACTCAAAGTCTAGATTTGAATCCAACAATGTTAAGTCTCGTCGCCCGTGCTCGCTGTGCTGATAGATCAGCAAGCTGTCATCGGCAGGGAGATTGTGTGAAAATGATATTCTCGGCGAGCTTGTTTCCGAGCACATGGTGTTCGTTCTCCACCACCTCTAGCCTCGAATTTGGCAGGAATGAGGGGGAGAAAACAGCTGAGGAGTTAGCTAAGAAAGTCAAAAAAACAAAGTTAAACAAAGCTGTCTTTCACATGTTCCAAGGAAGATAGAAAGGGAGTCCAAAAAACGCCCAGAATCAGCGCCTGAGTTTCCTAATTGCTCAAATCAGTGAAGAATATCAGGGAAACTTCGTTGTTTTCTACAGCCTTGAAGGCTCAAACTGACAAGGTAGACGCAAAAATGGAACCCCAAAACTTCAAATCAGGCCTAAAGAGAGAGAGAAGGGGTAAGGAAGCTTCAAGATCTGGCATCAGAGAGACCTAGAAGAGTAAGAAAGAAGGGAAATCCAAGAATTGGCTAATGGGAAGGAAATGGATTCAAGACTTTGGCCATTTTAAAAGAAGAACGTGATGGTAAGTAAATGGAAACGCTTTGAGTTTTATATTGTATTAGAGCTTCCATGACTGTAACCCAAACCCTGTCCACGTCCGCCAAAGTGGGCAATATTTGCTAGCATTTGACTTGGACGGTTACAAATAGTAGCAGAGTCAGGCACTGCGCGTTGTGCCAGCGAGGATGCCGGCCCTCAAAGAAGTAGACTGTGAAATCTCACGTCCGTTGGAGAGGAGAACTAAACCTTTCTTATATAAAATAAAAAATCTAAATTTGTAAACATTAGGTAGCTTGTTTGAACATTATTATTATGATTATAAAAGGTTGAAAGAAACTACCATGTTGAATCAGCAGAGAGAAACTTGTCAACAACTCCAAGCAAATTTCTCTCATAATGGATAAATAAAAGGAAGAATGCAGCGATCTACTGTTCTAGATGTAACAAACCACCTCTTTCCACCAACTTATATAGAATGTGGCCTTTTCAAAGAGTTGAACGTTTCTTAGATAAAAAAATGTGGAAGAAGTCCATTGAAGTAGAGAGGGCATCCTTTTCCCACCCTTCCGACCTATTATTGATGAGGATTTGAACGATGTTGAAGGTAGCTTGCTTACCGAACCGTCTATTCGAGAGGCTAGAAACTAAAAAGAAACGAAGCGAAGTTATTGTACAAACTTTGATTCCCCTGTAGTAGCAGTTGGGGTGTAACAATCTAAGCCTACCGCTAAGAGATATTGTCTGTTTTGACCCGTTACGTATTGCCGTCAGCCTCACTGTGATTAAAACGTGTCTACTAGAGAAAGGTTCCTACACCCTTGTAACGAATGCACATATTTTATTTGTTTTTTACTTTTCTTTCAGTCTCCACTAGAATATGCTTAATTGAGACAAAAGATAGAGCATGAGAACATGATAAAATGAAGAATGCTTTAAGTCAAGCCAACATTCACTTTTTCCCCTTTTTTTTCCATTAGGATTTTTCTCTCTTTCCTTTGTCCTAAAGTATTCAAATCTTTTCATTCCCATGTCAAAAAGCTCTCCAGTATTGGCTACTCATACCTGCTTACTTAAACATGTGAGATCTCATCGAGAATAGAACGAAACATTCTTTATAAAGGTGTGAAAACCTCTCCCTAGTAGATGCGTTTTAAAAACTTTGAAGGGATGTCCAGAAGAAAAAGCCTAAATAGAAAAATATCTGCTAGCAGTAGCCTTGGGCCGTTCAAAAATAGTATCAAAGCCAGACACCAGGCAGTATGCAAGCAAGGAGACTGAGCCCGGATGGGGGTTGGACACGGGAGTCTCACATCGATTGGAGAAGGGAACAAGTGCTAGCGAGGATGCTAGACCCCGAAGGGGGTGGATTGTGAGATCCCACGTTAGTTGGGAAGGAGAGCGAAACATTTTTTATAAGAGTGGAAACCACTCATTTTAAAAACCTTGAAGGAAAACTCGAAAGGAAAAAGTCCAAAGAAGACAATATTTATTACCAGTAGGCTTGGGCTGATCTTTCGTATACGAAAGCAGCCATGGAAATTGGGTTTAAAGTAAGAAACAGTCTTAAGTTGAGTGAGTTGGAGAATGATGGGAAGTAGGGTCCAGGGTGGGGAAGATGAAGATGGCCCGAGCAACTTGCCATTTGAGCAATCTTGGTTGAGGGGGACCGAGAGGGGAAAAGGGGGAAGAGGTAAATGACAAAACAGTCCTCAGCTGCAACAAACCCATCAGCCAACAGCCATCCTCATCATGTGTTGTCATGTTGTAGAGAATAACAGATGGGTTTGATGAACATGAAGAGCAGAAAGTGAAAAACAAAAACAAATGTTGTGATCAGCATCAAAGTACTCTTGATTGTGAGTGAACATTAACTGATGTGTTGGAAGTGTGCTGTTTTGGTGGTTAAACTGGCAATGGGAGACCCCTCTCAAGGGGGTTCTGTCACTGTCTGGATCTCCAGCACAGCCTATAACCCTTCATGTTGAATCACTAAACTATGTTGTGGAAGAGTACCAATTCGGACGTGTCATGCCTGTGCCTGTTTCAATGTGGGAGGAAAGAGTTGTACAATGGCCATAGAAGCAGGATTTGTTACAGAACAGAACAAGGCCAATGAATTAATCTATATCCATTCTTCTTGAGGCGAAAGTGTGTGACATCTCACGTCAGTTGGAGAGGTGATCGAAACATATTTTTATAAAGACGTGGGCACTTACAAAAAACATATTTTTATAAAGACGTGGGCACTTACAAACTGATAGCAATCTGGGCTTAGGCACTTACAAAATGAGTCGGATTGGGTCAACTTTCCATCTTTGTCTTTGAGAGAGAGAGAGGGAGAGAGACAAAAACACAATAAAAAAAATAATGAATAAGTTGGGTTGGATTGATGGTTAAAAAAAATGGATGGTTGAATATCACCTAGAAATGCCTCGACTTTTTTTCTTTTTAATTAATGGATCAATCATTTGAACAAGAAACTGTGCGTAAACTACACTTTTGTAGTCTTGCAAAGACTGAAATGTATCCTCATTATCGTATACGCGAAATGAATGTGCTCAAACATCCTTTAGTGTTGTGAGATTTGAAGAAATGATCCCACACTTTTCTCTATGCATATCAAGAATTAGAAAAGAAATGATTCCACAGTCCTACAGAAGTGTACAGTTCCAGCTCGCTCACTCCTTTCTCTTCTGCTGCCTTCCATCTTTACCTTTTCATTCTCCATTAGAATGATAGAGATACCAATACTCGAACTCTATAGATATACCACAGTTTGTACAATAATGCCATACTTCAAACATGGAAAATGATTGCCCATCATCAAAATGCACAGGATCCTTGAGTCATTTGTAAGGTATAGAATTTCTCATAAAAATAAAGCAAGCATGTCTGTACAAGAAACAATCGTTTTGAAGTGTTTGTTTGGATGAAATCTCTGTTCTTTCAATATCAGGGGATTAATTGGTATACAAATGCTCAAGCTAAAAAAAGATTGACCGGCATTGCCTCTGGAGGTAAAGCCTATGTATGAACAAAGTTACAGGAGTTTGTCTCTATTGATAGAACTTAATCTGTACGAATTAGGAGTGTTTCAATGCCACAAAAATACCGGTTTCAAATTATCGAAGATCAATGACATCAAATTTCAGATTGGGATCCATGTATACATCTGTACAGGTTTTGTAAATGGGTCCACCATCAGGAGGCTGACCATGCGAGTGAAAGCCACGTTGTTGGCATTGCCTAATTATTGACATGCCACCCGGGGTTGTCAACCGGAAAATGCCATGGGTTCTGTTCATGTCAGGGGGGGATTCTTAGAAAATGTTCAAGAATGTTCCAAAAGAGTGATTAACGAAATTCAAGCAATCTAAGCAATCTAGGCAAAGTGTTTTTATTTAAGATCATACCTCGCACTGTCCTGGGGAGCCATCACAATTGCAACAGCTTCAGGCAACATTACCTGGAGATTGAGAATCTATATTAGCTTCCAAAGCAACAGTGTAAAGCCTTAAAAAATGTATAATTTCAGGTGATTTAACAATAGTTGCACTGAAATATCCTTACTCTAAGTTTCTAGTGCATTTGCAAATGCTAATCCTTTTTTTTTTTTTTTTTTCATCTACGCCAAGTCTCTCTCTGTCTCTCTCACACACAAATAAGAAACGAGAGACATTAAATAAAACCAAGTCTTTCTCCTCTTCAAGAGCACCTTTTTTTAAGACCGATCCCGCCCCTCCTCGCTTCACTCAAACATCTCTTGATTCAACTTGGAGTATGCCACCTGCCCCACTTCCCTTTTTCCCCTCACCAGAGGGAAGGAGATTGTTGATGTAGATTTTAAAAGTAAGCGGGTATAAATTCATCTCAAAATCATGGAAAAGTATGTTTATACACATAATCAAAGGAGCTTATTTCATTGTCGTTCCATAAAAATATGAATGCTTATCTTTTGCCAGTAGAAGTAAGCTCCGAAAAATTGCAATTAGTGATATCCATCATCGGTAATTCATGCAACAGGGAAGTATATTTTATCTAGTACTCCTACGCATCCAACACATTAGCTTTTGCCCACAAGAAAATGAGATACCTGATATGAGTAATGTGTGTGAACATCAACCGACGACATGAAGCATGACTGTGAAGGATGTGTCTGGAAATAACACAACAGGATCGATGAACAACATGTACAATAGCCTTAAATATCATAAATTCATAATTTCCACATATATAATCAACTATTAAGACAATAAAAACAGACTTATTTACATTAGCATTGAAATTCAATATACATGTCAGAACAAACAGTCATCCATGTACGAACAGTCAATTGGACATTCCTAACTGAACATGATTTAAACTTGAAACTCCAACTCTTTATGTTGCCTAAATTATTCACTTAGGAGTGCAAAGTCGGTAGCAATGTATGTATAATACTCAAACATTTGTCGGCTTTCTGCCCCTTTTGAGATGAATCAAGCATCATCAACTTTTTTTCTTTTGTGTGTTGGGGGGGGGGGGGGNGGGGGGGGGGGGGGGGGGGGGGGGGAGAGGTCTACTGAGATTTGGTTTTCTATCTCAAATAACCTTAGGAAAAACAAGTAGAGATCATTACTTAATGTCAGAATGGACAATCATTGTTCCACTACCTTAAAACTTTTGATCTCCTTGTGTGAAACAAATTGGAAAGGTAACCACCCAGAGAAAACAATATTCTCTGTGCTTGGTGGCATCTGTACCAACAACAAAATGGGAGAAGAAAGCATAAAATGGTTCTCTATCCAAGAAGGAACCTTGAGCAAACAAGGTAAAGAAAACCCAAATCATCTTTCAATTTTCTGTTCTATTTCCTAGCAGGTTTTGGTGACAATCCTGAACTCTTTAATATCTTATGGGCCTTTTTGTCATCAGGTTGAGACTTTTTTTTCCTTTTTTTTCAGGCTAAGGTTGAGAATGTTGCTATTTCTTCGTAGTGTGGTCATCCCACCAGAGAGAAAGCAATCTATGTGGAGAGATTTAATCAAGGCGTTTTTTTTTTTTTTTGGGTAA